GAGAGAAAAATGAAACACAAAAATTTGCCAAAGTAACAAAGGAAGAGTAGTAGCCTGGGGCTATTTAATGTAGCGGCAACTCATTCTATGCATTTGTTATTGTTTTATACCCCTATGTAATGACCTATGGTTTAAAGATGACCCTAAATCATCAAGAAAAAGTAAAACACATTTAGTGTACCTTGTTTGAGACCTAGGGGAATTATTTAACATTTTAGAAAGAACTTCCAACAAACTCTTAGATTAATGAGTTTTCAGCTATCTGAAAATTGACTTCTGTGGAATAACGTTATTCTATAAACTATCAATAAAGATAATACTACATTTTAAACAAACGAACAAACAAAATGGAGGAAACTAAGTGAGATTCAGGACTCTGTATTAGAGTACTAAGGACCCTGCATTTCTGAGAAAATTGACTTGCAACGTCCCCATTCAGCTGGGGCTGTGCAATGAATGCCAGCTGCAGGACAAAGCTGGGTCTCGCAGACATCCCGTTGCCCTGACTGCCGGCAAAGAGCCATCACAAGCTTCAGCGCAGCCCCAAGGGGTGCATATATTAAAGAAAAAACAAGAGCTATGCTCCAGAATGAATTTCTTTAAAATGCAAAGGGTAACAAGAGAGCTACATTTGGGGAAAGCCCAGCTCTCAGAAACAGGAAAGTAATACTGAATCTTGGTTAAAGTTGCTTGCTCTTGAACTAATTAGCTGGAGATTGAATTCAGCATGAGAAGTCAGAATGTGGGTTAAGAGTGAAGAAAAATGTTATTTTTCCTCTTAGGTACCAGCCTGGCACTTTTGAATGTAGTAGCAGGCACCACATGAGACTCAGCCAATTTGACGAAATCACAAAACTGTAAAAAACACTGTGGCTGATTGAAAAGGGGTTCCAGAGATATAATGTGGGCCAGATGTTTGATAAAAGGCAGTTTTTATCTACTTTGGTGGTAGCCTCTTTGTAATAAGATATTGGCACATTTATCATTAAGGAAAAATAAAGAGAAATGAATAATACAGAATCCAGTGGAACAGTAAATAATAAGTTTCCACCACTTTTGAAGTACTATTCCTACCTAGCATTGAGCTGCTATTTTTTTTTAATCTCTTTTTTCTTGTTTTTCTAAGATGGGAGGTTTGTGGGAAATTATACATAAAAGAAGGAAGCCAAAATCTTCTGCTTTTGTTTTACTTGAGAGCCTTTAAGGAAAAGATGGCACTTATAAAGTCATATTTCCCATTGATGGCATCCTTCACAGGTTACAATCCCTTGACAGAACACGTCTGCAAATAACAAGATCTTACTTCTTAACAGGTCTGTACTAGATTCAAAATTTTCGTGCTTCATTGACTATGTAAACAAGTTTGGAATTTAGGGAATTTTCTATATTACAAGGGAGTGAAGGTTTCCCACCTCTTTTTTGGTAGATGAGTTCCCTACCTCCAAACCTGAAGTGTTCACATTTTCTGAATCTATGCTGTTTCTTCAGTGTTCCCTTTGACTCTTGCAGTGTGCATTTCATGGTTTTTTTTTGCTGCTACTTCTGGATTCAGAAGTGTTCAGAGCCAGAAGCAAGAGTATACAGTCTCAGAGAAAGTGACAATGCCCACAAATTGCACAGTGCACTTTAGCCGAGGGCTCCCAGCCCTTTTGGTCCTGCCCTGCCAAAGCCCAACTGTTATATAAGATTCTCGTGCCCAGATCTCTGCCAGGGTTGGGGATTCTGTGAATTTCTTGTTAGTCCATTGCAGAATGAAAGAAGAGGCAGGAAAAGCCTGTGCCAAATAAAGAGGTAGGAGAGAAATGGACTAATTGGGTATGGGCATCTATTGGCAGAGAGTGTTCACCTCAGCATCAGTCAGGAATCCACAGAGAAGCCAGGGGGCCACATTGCAGGTCCCCCGCAGGCTTTATCTTCTGTGACTGACACTTAAACGGCAGAGCTCATTTGATGCTGTTCCAGGCTCGCCGCTGGGTGTTTCTAATTGTGTGTTTTAATTAATGTTTTTATTGTACTTGGTCCCAGAGGCTGTTTTAACAGACCAGCATATATTTAGAAGTCTCTAAATAAATAAATGTAAAACAAAGGAAAACTGACTCTGCTGGAATTTTGAGAATTATTGTTTCTAAAAAGACAGGGTAAAGTTTCGGACTCTACTGCTTGAAACCAACTTTGGCAATATCAGGGCCTGTCCACCTAAACACATCCTATGGGTATAGCAAAGCATGGCTTGAGGATCTTATCCAGGGTTTGGATTTAGAAACCTGTACTCTGGGTCTTGAGACAGTTGGGAGATACTGTAAAATTTATTGTGTTCGTTTTTGCTTTTTTCTTGTATTTAACAAATAAATAGGAATATTGGGGTGGGAATAGTAGCAAATATCTGCAGCAACATTTATTTGCACCTGTGTAGATTTCTTCCTGTTGCTAGATAGAGAAGGTAATTAGAATGGGATAGTTCCTTTGCACCCCTTATTGTTGTCTCTTGAATTTTGTTCTCCCCTTTAAAAGGGACAGTAACACCTGAGGGAGTGAATTTAATTCAATTCAGCAAATATTGAGCACTTCTTCATTCAAGCAAGGAGCTTGACTTTATGGGGGAAATGAGGTGTTTACGTTATAGGAAATGTATTTACAAGATATATCTGGCTTCTGCATATGTGCTGAGTTTGGAGTAGATGAAAGCATATTTGGTTTCTTCTTGTCAGAAATCATTATTAGTTAAATTCTTCTACTGTAATTTTCTTGGGGCCCTAGAGAGCTTGTGAAAGTTACTCAAGAGCTGTAAGGCTGGAGTGTTAGCAAATTGCCTGGCGATAGTAATGAAGGCCGGGCCTGGACGGAAGAGTGAAGTTTTGAAGTCTGTCTGGTTGTTTGCCATCATTTTTTGTCTTTCCTAATAGTGGCATCCCTTTCTTCCCTTTTCTCTATCTCCTTCAAGATGACCTAAATTAGTGGCTCTTGACCCTGGCTTGCAAAGAGCTTTGAAAAAATACTGATGCCTGTGCTTCCTACCAAAACCAACTGAAAGTGCCACAGTGATTTTATTGTACAGCCAGGGTGAGCCCAGGTGCCTTTGCCCACCTTCAGCAGTCCTCTTCTGCATGCAGCATGGCAAGCTTCTCCTCAGGAAAATACCTGCTTAAGTCACTCTAGTTCCTTGATTATAAGATGCCATCGGTTCTAAGATATACTATAGATTTAATACAACTTTTTGATTAAAAAGAAGAATGGACAAGAGGCCACGTATGGTGGCTCACGCCTGTAATCCCAGCAATTCGGGAGGCTGAGGTGGATGGATCATTTGAGGTCAGCAGTTTGAGACAAGCCTGGTCAACATGGTGAAACCCCATCTCTACCAAAAATATAAAAATTTATCAGGCATGGTGGTGGGCACCTGTAATCCCAGCTACTCAGGAGGCTGAGGTAGGAGAATTGCTTGAACCCGGGAGGCGGAGATTACAGTGAGCCGAGATCATGCCACTGTACTCCACCCTTGGCAACAGAATGAGACTCCATC